GAGGGAGGGAGGGGAGGGGGGGGGGGGTTGTCGATGACTAGGTAATAAAGATACATATGGATAAAGCCAGGCCATTCCAACCAATAGCACCATTGTTTCTTGTAGACTAGATATTGCAATTGTTTACCAAATCCAAGAGCAAACTTGGAACAAAAAAGCATCTCCAACAGCGCATCGAAAAACACAGTTGTGAGAAAAACTGCTCCATGCCCTCAACAACTGACCAAAACCTACATGGGGACCAGTTTTTGTCACATCCCAAAAATTGCTACAGGTTCCCCAAAAAATTGCTACAGGAGTGGTACGTTTGGGCTTCTACTAGCATGTGTAAAAAAAGGTGGTGCCAAACCTAACCACCGCCTCGTCAGGACCACCACGCGGCCCACATCCCGACTCCGCCCCATTTTGTCCCTCGACGTTGTCTGTCGGAGCCGCCCTAACACCCGACGAGGTCGCCACACTGACGCCCAGTCCCGTAGATTTCGATCGTTTCCTAGTTGTCACCGCCGCCGCGTCGCACCAAGATGGTCGCCGTCACCACCCGACGAGCTCGAATAGGAGACGGGCAAGGTCCCGCGGCCGAAACTGCCATCGATGCACCCCCCCACCCCCCACCCCTCGGGCCAGCCTTCGACCTCCCTTCTGTCGCCATCCGGCTTCGCTCCCATCACCGTTGAACTCCGGAAGTGAGCCTGGCGCACCCAACCCAACGTGTTCGACGAAATGCCACAAAGGAATTTTTATGGAATATGAGTGTAGTTGAACTCCGGAAGTGAGCCTGGCGCACCCAACCCAACGTGTTCGACGAAATGCCACAAAGGAATTTTTATTGAATATGAGTGTAGTTGCAGTATGCTATGAATATTGATAGCTAAAATAGATGATTTTACATTGAATTGTAAATTGCCATGATTTTACATTGAGCCGAGATTGACATTTTCTTTCAGTTTTTGGTCTGCTGGGGAAAGCAGAATTTTTATTGGAGAGAAAAAACCTTCTCTCTCCACTCCTAAAACCAGTTTTTGGTCTCCAATGTTTTTTTGTCTGCTGTTAGAGATGCTCTAAGCAGAGCAGACCCATACCCATTCCACTGTGACTTGAACATTCGCAGTAACAAAAATGGTCAGAGATTCAACAGTTTGTACACAGTCATCAGTACCTACGACTTCAGAAGCTAGAACACACTTCCAATGCTGCAACTGGCAAAAGAAATTGTACGCGAGGATACCACGCAGTCAGAAAATCACAGCTTACAACATGGCATCAGCATTGAGAAAAGCGAATACATCTGGTCTAGACATGAGACTGCCGACACGCCGGGAGCTGTACCAAGCATTGAACAAGCGAATGCATCTGGTCCACACGTCACCTTCTCTTCCTTGGAAGCAACTCCTTTTCGACACGGCGTCAGCATGTGTGGACAGAAGGAACAACACGAACTTTCTATATGAGCAAGGAACCAGTAAGAATACGAGGCTGTCAAGTACATATAATGGGCGGCAAATATATCAGCTGCAGCATGTCCAAAGTTTTCGAGTCGTTCTGAGGTAGCGACTCGTGAATAGTCGAGCATACAGTTGCGACTAGTCATTTGACTCACAAACAGGGAGCATGTCGACAGTGGATATTACATTGCCCGGTAACGCTGTGAATTACGTGAAAAGAACCTACCAATTAGGGATCAGCCTTCAAATATGTACCACTCCCTCCGTTCCTAAATATTTGTCTTTCTAGAGATTTCAACAAGTGACTACATACGGAGCAAAATGAGTGAATCTACACTCTAAAATATGTCTATATACATCCGTATGTGGTAGTCCATTTAAAATCTCTGAAAAGACAAATATTTAGGAACGGAGGCTGGTTTCAACGGCGCGCCGCCCCTCTCCCCAACTTGCTGCTCCTCCGTCGCCGGATCACTTGGCTCTCTGTTGGCGCGCCGCCGCAGGAGTGAGGAGGGGAGAAGGAAATGGGGATCGTATCAGGGGCCAGCTAGGGTTGGTTCATGTGGGAGTTGGGCTGATTCAACCTCATGTGGGCTGGTTTTGGCAACATGGTTATTTTGGTCATGCCTTTTGCACTGCATAATAATATGAAAATTCACTTAAAAGGCATAATACCCCTAAAAAAGCATAATAATATGGAAATATGTTTAAATCATATAGAAATTGTCAAATAGTGGATTTCTTTTGGTAGAAGGATCAACACAATTTCTTAGAAGAGTTTTTGGCAAAAGATCAACACAATTTCTCATAAGTGCAACTGCCGCTTTTTAGGGCAAGCGCATAGCCATGCAATGGAGAGAAAACGGTGGAGATAGGCCTAATCGTTTTTCTGTTGGGAAAAAAAAGGAAAATGGATGAGATCACGCGGAGACATAACAGCTCTGGGATTTGGTGAATCCCCCTCTTCCACTCAATCCCCTCACATCCCCCAACTGGCACAATCGCCTCCATATATAACACTGTTTGGTAGGGAGGGATTGCCATATTGAGTCAAAAATGATGCAAAACAGTTAACAATCCAATCTTGATAGGTTAAATAGCATCATAGCTAGACAAACTTGCTATAAAATTGTAAATGTCACCTAATAAAAACATAATAGTAGTTCTTCACATCAACAACATAATTTTGCTTCACTAGTAGAAAAGAGGGCTTTGGTTCAGGCCGGGTCAGCCCATTAGTCCCGG